CAACAACAATGTTCTTTTTTGAATAATGACAATATTTATGGAGCTTAACTCAATCATTCTGAAGATTTAGAATTTCATTAGTTCTTTGTTGTTATGCAAAACTTTACAAAACATAAAGTATAAAAGGAATATCATCTATTGGGGAAAGTATTCATTCTTATGGGAAAAACAGCAAGCAATATACTATTAGTATATGAGAACTAACATTAACAGCAATACTAACAGCTAACTGAGTAACAATGGGAGCATTGGTGGTTCCGTGGCAGAATTCTAATCTACCATGTGGGAGATGTGGGTTTGAGTCCTGGCCACTGCACCTCCGAAATAGTCACCAGCCACTGTTGGAAGACATTTGGGTGTTGGCATAGGCTGAACCAGTTTCAGCATGGCTTCCAGTTTCTGAAGGACTAGAAATAAAGGCTTAGAAATATACTTCCAGAAATCAGCCAATAAACACCCTATGGATCATAATGGTTCTATCCCATTATGCATGTATGAGGTCACCGTGAGTTTGGTGGGCCGATTGGATAGTAACTAACAACAACAACTGAGAAACAATAAATAAATAAATAAATAATGATTTCTCTTAGTAGAAAAAATGTGTGCATCAATGCTTTTATATACTCTTTCCAAATATTTCTCCAACATTAAAAAAAACCCTGCAAGGTCGGCAGTTCAAGCTCACCAGCTGCTTCTCAGAAACTCTATGTAGGGTTGTTATGTGTTGGAACTGACTTCTAGAAGGAACTTAACAATAACAACAACAATCCTTTCATATGTGATGAGTCACTAAATTGGGGATGTATTTGTGAATACCTGGATTAAGATGCATTTACACAATTTTGAGCACATGTAGTCATCTAAAAAATTTAGTTTAATGACCCCTGATTAAAATAAACAAGCTTATATTAGATTTAGTTTTATTTAAAAAAATATATTCTTGGACATTTCTGGATTACTAACTACAGTTAATAAGACAATTTTTCTATTATATCTATTACAATTTAAAATACATATTACTCCAAAATGGAATTGATTTCCAGTGAGATAATTATTTTAAAAATCATATAAAAATAATTATGAAATATCAGTAATTTTGATACACATTATGAATATGTTTAATCTTTACAAAAACAAAATGAATTTATTTGTGTTGTGATTTGCCTGGGCTTTGCGCTAAAACCTTACTTATCATTACTGTTGCTAGAAGTTCTGTCTGGAGCTGACATGCTGGGTCCTCAGTCTACTCATGGCTGCTTTCATCTCCTGGTTCCTCAAAGTATAAATAATGGGGTTCAGTAAGGGTGTGATGACTGAATAAAACACAGAAAGAAATTTATCCACTGAAAGGCCACTGAACGGCCAAGCATAAATGAAGATGCATGGTCCGAAGAACAGAGTGACCACAGTGATATGAGCAGACAGTGTGGACAGAGCCTTGGAGAGTCCACCAGACGATCGACGTCGGACGGTCACCAGTATGACAGTGTAGGAAATGAGCAAGAGTACAAAGCAGATGAAAGACAACAGTCCACTGTCTGCAATCACCAACAATTCCAGAACATAAGTGTCAGTGCAGGCAAGTTTTAGAACCAGAGGTAGGTCACAAAAAATATTGTCTACTACATTGGGGCCACAGAAAGGCAAGGTGATAGTAAAAACCATCTGACTCATAGTATGCACAAAACCAACAGTCCATGACAGTATCACAGAACCCATGAGTACTCGGCGGTTCATGATGGTGGTGTAGTGAAGAGGTCTGCATATTGCAACATACCGATCAACAGCCATAACTATGAGAAGAGTCATCTCACTGCCTCCTAAAAAATGGAGGAAAAACATCTGAGCCATGCAGCCCCACAAGGAAATCGTTTTCTTCTCTCTGAGAAAATCTGTGATCATCTTAGGAGTTGTGATTGTGGAAAGAGTCATATCAAAAAAGGAGAGATTTCCAAGGAGGAAATACATAGGTGTGGAGTGCAGGTGAAAGTCAAAGGTTACTGTGACAACAATCAGAAGGTTTCCTGCTACAATAGCTGCATAGCTCAACAAAAATATGAAAAAAAAGAAAATTTCAAGTTCCCTACTACTGGTGAGTCCTAACAATATAAACTCAGATATTGTTGAGCTATTCATGAGATCCATCGTAACTATGAGATAATCTGGAAAAAGTCACCACTAAACGTGTTTTCGTCTTGAAGGTATGGTCATGCAGAATGAAAACATTTGATTCCTATAGGAAGAGAGAAGATGGACAGTTCTGTAAAATGCATTTTAATTGATTATTATAAGCAATATTCCCATTACTAATTTTTTTAAAGCCAGAAAGGTTCATAAGATGAAATTTATGACCCCTGAATTGAATGGATCCATGAATAAAATGAGTCAAATGGCTACTAGTCAAATAAGGAGTTCACATGCATAAAATCATAGACATTTAAATCTTGGGTACTTAGTATTCAATAGTCAACTCCTCTATTTTTCTCAGTTCCTTTGGGAATATTTAAATATGCATTTGTTGTTAAGTGCCGTCGAGTCGATTCCGACCCATAGCGACCCTGTACAGGGTTTCCGAGGGTGTAAATCTTTACGGAGTAGAAAGCCTCATCTTTCTTCCTGTGGTAGTTTCGAACCGCTGACCTTAAGGTTCGCAGCCCGATTCGTAACCACAACGCTACCAGAGCTCCTTTCAAATATGCATATGTAAGTTGAATTGTATTCCTAACTCAGCAAATTATTTAAGGTACTCTCTTCTAATGGACACCCTTATTCCTAACCCTGCCTTTCATTTTCTAAAGATATACCAATGATTTTATTTACTCCTGAAGTTTTAAACTGGCCAGTCCCTCCCAAATTACTGTAATAATTAGCTAAAATAAATTTCCAAAGGTATTTTTGAATAGGAATATAAATGTTTCTCAGTTTCCAAGCTATTTGTGATTCATGAGAAGTATCTCATATTTTGATTCCTGACTAGAAATCTAGACTTCTCTTTATAGTTTTTCTGAATTTAGAATTGTTGGTCCTGTGACTAGAGTTATTTCTTTTTCGTTCTTTGGCACTCTGTATTTATAGAGTGTGACCCACCATCATGCCTTACATACCAAACAAGCAGTGCATGTGTTTCCTTGGCTCTGGAATGCTTATCTTCCTCCAAGCAATTCTTTTCTCTGACATTTCACACTGTATGCATGCTCTCTGCTATTCTGCAGGTTCATACACTCTTGACATTTGCGCTCTAGGTGTTTTCCCAAATTGAGCTACAACTGTTGACTACTTTTGACTTTAGCTTTTTAATCTATTGTTCCCAGGTTTCTTGGTCCTAGGCTTCTTTTACTTTTAGTCTTTCTTCTTTTTTAAAAAAAATTGTCACTGACCCAGCACACACACATGTATACTTATACTACTTCTTATTTCTATAGCAACAGAATAGAAAATGGAAAATCAAGTTTGAATTTCAATTTTTTTTTTGCTTAATAGCTCATCAAATATTCAGAAGACATTGATTAGCTCAATTTCAGAATTTCTTTTAAAATTTGATTTAAGAGTCAAGATTTAACTTATAGTCCCGATCTCAACATTTCCTAGGGAATTTTATTAAACTGTTTTGAACATTGATTAACTTTACTGCAAAAATAAAATATCTACTCTTCAACAGCAAAGAATGTTACTAGGCTATAAAGGATAACACATGTGAATATACTTGTATGTTTCATTGAACATACAAGTTTATATACATATGTATGTTCCTTTACAAAATTTTATTCTTTAACATTATCTCATATTCTAGTAGTTATGACCCCAGACTAAGGGAGCCGGTGAAAATGTTTGCACCAGAATAATGATAAAAAAAAAAAAAAATTAGAATTAATAAAAGCATTTTACACTATTAAACACAGTTGATATAATTATTTTGTGTCTTCTTTGTAAAGAATTATTGATGTTATCATTGATAGACTTAGTTAGGTAATAAATTTAATCTACATGCAAGCTGTGAAATTGTTTTAAAAAATATACAATCCTCAATCTCAAAACATTAGCAGGAGAAAATCTTGAGGAAATTTACAATAGTAATTTCATAGCTTAAATTTATACATGTAAAATTTGAAAATTAAAAACAGAAAAGGTACTTGTTACATTTGAAATTTAAATCATTTTACAAGCACATACAGTTTTAAATACCCAGTTATATGTTGGTGTTAAATGTTGTTGAGTTGAATCTGACTTATAGTGACCTTGTATAGGGTTTCTGAGGCTTTAAATATTCACAGGAGCAGAACGCCTCATTTTTCTCCTTACCCAGCTATATACATGGATTCAAATTTTTATGATAGATGTTGCTATTCATAATTTTTTAAAATCTAAAAATAATTTTTATTAAGACATAAATAAAAGTAAAATTAAGTAAGAAAAAACTCTCTAATGCAAACAACAGCTTACTTTCAAAGGGAAAATTAATTATTGAATAGTATGTATTTGACTAGCCAATGCTTGTGAGGGTGGTGCAGGATCCAACAGTGTTTCCTTCTGTTGTATATAGGGTAGCTATGAGTCAGCTGACTCCTTGGTATCTAACAATAACAACGCAACTTTGACTAACAAAGAAATAACCAATAGCAAGGAATGGAAAATAACAGAGTAAATAATATCAATTAGGACTTGGTCTGAAATGCACCTGTGATTGGGGAGTCTTACTCTTTTAATACCACACACAAGACCGAAAGAAGAACAATAAGTCCACTGCTCTGAACTGTAGTGGCTTACTTGGGAGCAAGGGAAACTATGTAGAGGGTGTTCAATACTGTGTATATTCAGTGGGAAAGTCATTTCCATACATATCCAAAGGAATATTTAAATCTAAGAGTCAGTATATGTGACAATATGTAACTAACATTTTATTTTAATTAGATTAAGGGTCACACCATTTCTAGTTATCATGAGTGTTGGTTATGTTTTCTTTTGTGTAGCTTTACTGGAATATAAAGCCTCATCTTTCTTCCTGTGGAACAGCTGGTAGTTTTGATCTGCTGACCTTGAGGTTAAAAACCCAACTTGTGACCACTACCCTACCAGAGCTTCTTTGGGAATCCATTTATGGAATGGATAACCCAGAGACGATGACCATTATCATTTATCAGTAATGAAAGTGTTTGGAAAGTGAAAAAATCAGATTAGTTATCAAAACAGCCACTTTACTATGTTCCTAATTAAAATAAAATACTTGTACATTTAGTAGATAAGCACCAGACTGCTAACTACAAAAGTGGACGTTCAAACCCAGCAGCCACTCCTTGGAAACCCTGTAAAAGGTCTCTATGAGTCAAAACTACTCAATGATCCTTCACAATGACGAACATGTAAATTATTTTAAATTGATTAAAGGACTTTTCCACAAATATTGACAAAGTTAAAACATATTAAAAGATTTTTTACTGGTTGTTTTACTGGTAAGAGGAAAAGGACCACTGGGTTTAGAAAAATAGGGAATGTTCCTAGGGCTTCAAAATTATTTAAAAATTATACATCAGGGGTAAAATTAAGACAACTATATTGACTAAACAGTATTTTAGCAAGAATATAAGTGTAAACTCTCAGGGAAAAATTAAAAGAAATTGACTTAAACATAACATATTCAAAAGGAAATCAATTTAAATGTAATATATTTAAATGTAATAAGTTGTTATATTTAAGACACTATTAAATGTAATACATGTAATAAGTTATTCACAAAATCTTTCTGAATTAAAATAAATACTCAACGTGGGAACATAGAATTCAATAAACTGAATACTAAAAGAAGTCATTATTTCCTATTTTGTGACCTGAAATTTTAGTGTATCAGATTTTAGACTTATCACAGATGATAAACATTGCTAAGAAAGAACCTAATTTTTCAGGAATATATATTTTCTAAGTGATTTTGTCTTTTGTTTGTCCTGTGGGTTAAAGTAATCCTGTTCAGATTCCAAAAGCTCAAATTCAAACCCAAAAGTGATGTCTCATAGTAGGATATCAGTGACAGTTTTTTAATCAGTTACAGAGTAGCCTTCTTATTAGAATGGGATACAATTGTCCAGCTACTAGTTGACCAAGATTACCTTTATACTGTTTCCCTCATGATCAGAATATGTTTTCCATTCAGTACACGTTTTATTAGAACAGACAAACAACATTCTGTTAGGATTGCTATTCAACCTACCAATTTTAGCTGAGGTATAGTATAGACTCCTCAATGAATTTCAGACACAGTGATTATATATGGATTATATTTTTACCTCCAGGAATACATATGACAATCATTTTTAGGTTAAAAAAGGAAAACAGATAGGAAACATATACAGAATATGCAGATCGGTGATCAATTACCAGAGGGAATTATTAAAATCAGCCTGTTGGTTTTCCCTTGGGTTTAGAGGCAGGGCTTATTCTTTTATTATTTAAATGGATTGTGAATTTGCCAAATTTATCAGTCATGGGAACTTTCTCTAGAAATTTCTCTAGAAAGCATTAAAACTAGTTGGTTGGTGGAGAATGAGCACATTTATAGACAATGAACCTATCCCTATCGTAGATAATGGATTTGGGAAAACTATAATTCTATACACTTGATTTCATGCACCTGAATATTTACAATTAATTTGACAATTAGATGCTTGTGTTCATACATACTTAAAATATGCATGTAGATACCAAGAGGGCTAATGAAGAAATTCATAGGCTTATTCTTCCATAACATAGAAAAAAATGTCCTTTTACTCTACTGAGGAGGAGAGCATGCTTTTCACCATCCTTGATGCTTTTTATTGAATAATGAGAATATTCTTGAAGTTTAGCACTCAGTCATTCTGACGATTTAGAATTTCATTAAGTCCTTTGTGATTATATAAAACTTTAGAAAACGTTAAATATAAAAGAAGTATCACTGAAGTAACTCTAGTATTAACTTTTATGGGAAAACAAGGAACATACTAGCAGTTCAACTCAATGAAAATTAATGTTAACAACAATGTTAATAGCTGAGAAATAGTGGGAACATTGGTGGTTCAGCAGAAGAATTCTCATGGACCGTGTGGGAGATGTGGGTTTAAATCCTGACAAGTGTGTCTCACATATAGCCACCACACATTTGTTAGAGGTTTCTTTGT